AGCATAAAGCAATCGTTATCATGGACTCCACGTGGCGGCTGATATCAATAATAACCCACGCCTCAGTGAATATTGGTTGCTGGCACCGAGAATTTATGCAAATACTAATGGGTCCGTTCATTAATAAATTATGTAGAGTACAACTCGTAAACAATGTAAAGTCCGATGTATTCCTCTCAACAAGCGGTTTATAGAATATTGTTACGTCTGCGCGGCGACGAGTGAAAATGTTGAGCGTATGCTTGTACCTAAAATGTGCTTGCATTAAATTGCAAACTATTTGTATACTAGCGAAAAGAGACGATGATAAGATTCCTGTTTATAAGGTTCCTCAATTACCTTTCGATATAAATTTTTCTCAACGCTAATTCCCACAGGGAGCAAATCACATTCTCGTGAACTTTGTGAATCTTTAGTAGCTGTCGTGGTAATTCGATTATGATGTCACCATCTGTTTTATACAATCCCTTCATTTTTATGTGCAATTTTATATTTGTGTTGAACATGTCCGAATCATAATGCGTCTTAAAACATCTGTGATTGTATATACATATAAATTGTAAATTTACTTTATATACATATTTCAAAAGTAAAATGACAGTTGTTCAGGATTTATTTTTTATTCATGCATATTTATTCCTAGTTAACATCTCTAACGAGCTTACCTGAATGCCAAACAGTTTCTATTAGGAACAACTGTTGTCTTTAGTTGTGAAAGTAATTGAAATAGAAGTGGATAAGACACGTAATTCAAATATTCATTCGCATCGAATCGAATACAAGGAGCCGATAAGAATCCGTTCAGTGGTAAATATCTCAACCTATAGAAATATTTGTTGGAGATACAGAACTCAAAAACATAGCTCGATCAATCTGTTTAAACTCTTTAAAAATTTGATTTAACAAATAGAATATTCATTTTTGTTTAAAATATTAATGCAAATAATGACCTGTTTGAACATACAGAGATCATGGTAAGTCTAGGAGCTACAGTTAATCTATTAGGTAATTCTTTTAGTTGATTCTTGTCTACATATAGTTCTCTCAATCTTGGAAGAGAACCAATCCATTCTGGCAGTGCAACGATCAAATTGCCCGAGACAGATAATACTTCCAGACTATTCAGTTGGCTCAACTCTGTTTTTCATTTTGTTTACATGAGTAAATAAATGCTTTTCTTTTTCTTTGTAATGGAACAGTCTGGTGATCCTTCTTAACTTACCAATCGGTAATCTTTCTATGAAATTATTATCCAAGAATAATGATCTCAGATTATACAAATTGCCGATACATGCTGGTACCTGCTTCAACCTGTTAGCACTCAAATCTAGCACTGTTAACATACGCATCTCACCGAGTTCAACAGGCAGCTGCTCAATTCGATTACCATACATATACAAGTTGGTCACATTCAACAGCTCCTTGATCCAGGACGGTAGAGTAGTAAGCTTGTTCCATTTGAGATATATCTCCTTGATGTGACTGCCATGCAGCCTTATTACCTGTGGGAACTCTGCAAAGCCCCGGCAATTCCAATGCAATATGACTTTGGTCCTGACCTCGTTTGCCATTTCTATGGGATCTGGGTCCATGTTCGAAACGCAAGATTAATTAAGGTGACTCCGGGGAAGTGCCCAGAGCCACATGAATTACAATCAACATCGAGATCGACAGGAATCAGCCCGCGGTGCTTGAGATCAACAATGACAGTAGCCGCAGGCCCAAAATAACTCGGCCTGCTTGCCACATCTATATTAATAAACTTTCGCGATGGTCAGGCAAACGAGTTTCACGGGGACGCATCTCGTTATCCCGCGCGAGTGCCGCGCTGGAGAAGGGGCTAGTTAACATTCTGACATTCGTGAACGAATTAACGATTGGACTTATAGATTTGTTAATCGCAAATAACTGTGGAATATAACAATGTTGATTATTTTAATTCACCTGACGCTAGAGAAGAAACGAGATGGTCTTCATCGCGATATGGGAGCATATATACTTCATCACGATATGGGAGCATATATACTTTTCTATGTTCCTCCTGTTTCAAAAATCCAAATACATCTTATCTGCTTTCATCCTTTGTTTTCTTCAGTTCTTTTTTTCCCTCGCTTTTCGTGTTCCATCCTATAAGTACTTGTCAATCTCCCGCGCATGTCGCACGCATAACTGATACGAGGTCTGTTCTTTTTAGCTGACGAACTTTATTAACTAACTTAATTAATTTGTTTAACTTTAACTTTTTTTATTAGCTGATTAGCTGATACGTGACGTCAATCGTTAGCGTTTTTTTATCATATCAAATGTTCAGTTCAAATCTCCCTTCAATACTTTTAATTTTAATAAATTTACTCACTCGATTTCTATTGGTCGATGCTTAGAAATTTTCCAGTGGACTGCCAATCAGAAAATTTTATTTAAAATCAGCCAATCGGATGTGTGCTATAGGATCTCTTGAAACAAAGTCAAGTGTTATCCATCCAATTGGCTCAAGTGACAATGAAAGATGCGATTGGTCGATTTGAATCAAATCGGTTTTTAAAAATGGATGTCACTTTCAAGTTTTACAATACACATGTCATTCGCTGCTTTTTGTTTACATCCAAGAACGCTCGTGTTGTCAAAAACAAAATACGATATTCGTCAAGTTAATAATTCCTGATCAGTTAAATATTTGGTTAAATATCCCCGTCGAGTTTTTATGTGGCTGTATAATCTTTGTTTGGAGCATATGCAGCAGTAGTGTCCGAAAGAAAAATTATTGTCACCTCATTCCGGCGAGGCAACTTTCTGCGGAATATTTCGCAGCGGAAAAATGGAAAGGTATCAGCAGATGAGGGCATTTATATCAGCAGCCTTGGATTATTCCAAGCATCCTAGCGAAAGTGCAACTTCTGTCATACAAAGAAGCCTCGGGGTAAGTATAAGAACGCGTTTACACATTTAGTATACTGAAGTTGATTATACTTTAAAGAGCAATTGCGCAATATGTTTATATAAATCTGTCTCTAAGGTAATAAGCGCGTCAATGGATCTGGGTATATTTGATCCTGGTACCAGCGTAGCTGCAGAATTCTACATAAGCCTGTACGAATTTATGAACTCTGTAGGGTCACGATCTACCTTGATCTGGAGCGCTGTAGACGTTCTGCAAAATGTATGTCGGAATATATCCGCTAGACAATCGCTTATACATACATATAAATTTGCGCCAATATTAGCAAGATTATTAGAGGTATGGAATTTATTGTTAGATAGTAAAGATATTCTTATACAGTCAAATTAACATAATTGCATTCTTATTCCTTATATCATCTCTAGGCGAATCTGACGACTGAAAAGAGAATACGAGTATTAAAATTACTACAGGAGTTAACATATGGAATTAAAATATCATGGCAAGAAGCTCACCTTCCATATTTGATTTCCACGTTAACTCAGTGGGTGGTACAATCAAAAGAGGAAGAAATTATTGCACTTTTTTTAGGTGTCCTGGTAAATCTGTGTTATAAAAATCTTCCAGCGGTATATACATTAATGCGAACTGTCAATACTAAAGCATTTATCAGGACATTGTTGAAGCTCCAAGATCATGTTAATACTAGCGTGCAATGTTGCAAATTGTTAATTATATTAGAACCAACTAATACAAACATTTCGGAGAAATATATCATGGACTTTGCGTCGCTTACATTTATCAATCTCAGAACAGCAATGAAACAGAAAGATGTTTTATTATTGAGACATATTGTTGACTTTTTTAATGATGTTGGACAAAATGAGCATTCACGAAACGTATTGCTCACATATTCAAAGTAAGTCAATCAAATTAGATTTTTGCATAAGATAATATGAATGTTTCAAAAATAATAAATTCTATGTTTTCGATGTTGACTAGTTATGGCAAAGATGTAGAAAATATATTAGCCATTTTGGAAGAAAACACAGATCCGGAATGTGTCGCCCTTATGATGGAATTCTTACTATCGTTGGTGAAGCTGAAAATAAATGCCTTAACACCTCTGTATCCTGCATGCATAAAATCAGCGATGACGTGGGTTCCTGTGGAACAAGTATGTAATCTCTATTAAAAATCTTCATTAAATTACTGATTAATTTTGTATCAGTTTCTTCCATTACTGTGTTTATTAACATACTGTTTAAAAAAAGGAATATAAAAAAGACGAAATACGAAATTAATCAGTAATTAAAATTTTTATTGAAAAACAGGTATGTTCAAAAGCTTTAGCTCTCATACGAACCGTGATAATCGATTCTCGGCGCACTAAAACCTCTATCGAAGTTCTAACGGAAGTAGATCCATCTGTCCTTATGCTTATAACAAATCCAGAGAACGAAGTTAACGAGCAAAATAGAAATCAGAACGTAGAAGCGGAAACGAAGCAAGCCGAACTGATGCAATTGTTTCAAGAAATGATCAAGACTCCTTCATTGAAGAAGAAGATCATGCAGTCGTTCAACGAACATGCGATGCGCAGACTATTCAGCCACTTGCTGAATAATGAATTTTCCGCTGCTGGAGATTGGACCGGAAATTTTATTCAAGTTAATATAAAATTTAGTACAAGACATACGACATGCATCAATGTATTGTATTGTATTAAATAACAATTTCCGAATTTACAGAATGCTACCAATCTTTACATTCATGCCTTAGCCTTGACAGCAGATTTGGCGGCGAATCATTCCAACTGGTTGACATTGTATTCCGAATTACTTAGTAGAAAACAAGTGCAAATGATAATCGCCCTTGCATTATTCACTGGTGATAGCGAAGTGAAGCAGAAAATTTTGCAGTTGACATCATCAATTGGATTTCCACAAGACTGGTAAGCGCTTCACACACGGCAAAATATTTATCTTGATTTACCATATAACAGTTGTACATATGGAATTTCTGTTTCTGACAAGTGTTTCTGCAGTGGCACTTTGCATGAAAGAATTAGAACCGTTGATATTAGTTCAGAGCACTAACAGCAACGTATTGGAAATATCAAATAAAGCATCCCTTTATGCTGGGAATGAATTGGCGCCATTATTTTCTATTGCTCAAAAAGAGCGCCTCGATACATGTTTAGCCAAGCTGGAGTCAGCTTTGGAATTGAATCAGATTAATGATATTCCAACGTCTGCAGTAATGGAATTATACGAATATAAGGTACAAAAATTGTGTAAATAAGATATATTTTTTCTATATATAATTTGAAACATGATAATGATTTATATCAATTCTTTTAAAGTTAGCAGCAATGAGACATTTCGAAAGGGCGATGCAATCAAGTTTAGAAGCGGCAAATAATCATGCTACTAGTCTTCAACATAGATTAGCGCAAGTAGTAGCTGAGTCTAGTAGATTACATCAATTGTTATTTGACACTCAACAGTGTTTGGAAGGAATAAAAGCTGAAAAGTCTGTATTATTAGGAAAATTTAATGAGATGGAAGATCAATCTAAGAAAGTGCTTCTTATGAAAAAACAAGTAAGTGCTTATTACAAATATATAAAATACACAGCTCTAGCCAATATTTCTAAAATAATAAGTATTGCATTTTTTATTATCTTTAGGAAATTGAATCTTTAAAAAAAATTGTGATAGAAAAATCAACAAATTTAGAAGATTTGAATGTAAAATTAGTGCAACGTACAGAAGAATTAGAAGCTAGCAATAATAAAATTGATATATTAAGCAAAAAGATCAAGGAATTAGATAATGAACGTTTAATCGCTGACGCAAAAGCCACAGACATGGGTAATAAAAATCATGAATTAAGTAAACTTTTACAAAAGCTGAAAGATTCTCTCAGCAAAAAAGAACAGGTACAGTAACTTTTTGCATATTTAGTTAAAAAAAAGCACACACAAATTCTATTATTTTTTATATATTTTAGATTTTAGAGAAAAAGAATACAGAGATAGAAGCGAATCAGAATGACATATCTGCGCTCAAACAAGAAATTCAACAAATGACGCATATGCTACAAACATATGAGCAAACTATATCGGAAAAAGATAGGAATATTCAAAGAATGAAAGGGGAACTGAAAGAGCTGAGTCGCATGCGTGATATGATTTTCGAGCTTACTGCTAAAAACAAAGATGATACAAATTCAAGTTAGCAACTCTTTCATTTTAGGATTATTAATAAATACAGAAAATGTATAATTTATCGATATAATTTCTATCCTCCTAATCTAACATTCTTCATGGGCGTATCAATTTTTTTATATTTAATATTATAAATTTTATCCACATAAAATAACAAATGGATATATTATAGTATTTTAATCTAGGAAATTTTAACTATGAAAATAACACAATGTATATTTTAATATAAAAACATTTATTGAAGGAATGAATGATAGAAACATGAATAAAAAAATTTATGTATAAATAATCGATTATTATTATTGTACGCTTGTTCATTACTTATTCAATACGATCATAACATTTGGATAAAATTTTGGTTTAATTATTCGCACATAGAACTGCTTATATATCTTTTTCATCAATTAAAACGCGATTATACATAATTTTGCATACTTACACAAATTTTCATTTCGTTAAACATATTAAGTTGATCAAAGATGTACAGTATATGCATGCGATACTTCACGTGATTATTTTTCTGTGCTAAATACAATTGTTATCAACTTCTATTTATTTCATATTGAAATGCTTAAAACAGAATTTCTATTAATAATTATTTATATATATATCCTTTTTTTGATGACTTTGTTTGCTTATCACCATATATTATTTTCATATATCTTAATCTCTATCAGGAATATATATATATATATATTAATAATATATTAATACTGGTACAATTTCACTTATAGAAGCAATTTTATCCTACTATTCTCTTTGGAATTATAAATAAATAATACCGTTTTTAAACCCATAAAACAATATTAAAATATTTAGAAATAATATCTTTTTAAATTATAAAACATGTATTGTTTTTAATAACATAATTAATAATTTTAATTATTTTCTTCTAATTCTTTTTCTTCTTTTCTATCATCCATATATAGGATGATTCTTATGCATCAAATATAATAATAAAAAAGAAGGTACATAATAATAAATGTTTCAAAATATTTTTGGTCTATTTGATATACTATTGTATATAATTATATATATATATATATCAAATTAAATGCCTAAAATTAAATTACGTTTCATGCCTATAAACAGAGTAACTGGTACATAAAAAGCGATTTTACATGAAAAATAAAAAAAAGTAGATTAGAATATTTTCATACGAGATTTTATGATGATATATATATATATATATATATATTAGTATTAAAATTAAAAATTAGACAATATATATACTTTTGCGTGATTTCAACTTTTTTCATATTTTTTATATTAAACTGTCGAATTACCTATTAAAATAATTAATAAATACAGTTACATTAAAATACACGTAAAAATACAATTCTGTCAAAGAAATAAAAATGATCTAAATATTTTCTATATAATTTTTCAATATAATTTAAATTATCGTTTTATTAAGATCATACTTACTTTTTTATTTTCTAAGTTATTTTTTCGAAAACAAAATCCTGTATGACGATATTTTATTCTACGCTTTCGATTATTTTACTATGTATAATCACTCTTTTTCTCTTTGTACCACCGAAGACACCCTGTATGTCAATATTATCATTTTTACTTACTTAATTTTTTTACGGAATTGCAGACCTTTTTTCATGTATGTATCCAAACAATATATAACTGAATCAGTAAAATAACGAAGTAAAACGGGGAGATGAAAAATATGTTAATCAATCCCGATTTTCTGACGCAGAAATCAGTTGATGACGCCTATCTTCTTTATATGTCTATCACGTGTTAGTGCAAGCTGATAATACCAAAAATTTGATCCATTTGTCATTGTATGTATCGCTCAACGATAAATACAATTAAGCTAGAACTTTAGAAAAGTAATCAAATAAATTATTTTACAAAATAATAATCAATAATAGATCTATATTAAATTATATAAAACTGGTCAGCCGAATTAAAATGTACTATGTGCAACATGATTAAAAAGTATATTATTTTCCACGTTTAATACCGTATTTCTAATGCGACATTGTCATCAACTGCCACCTTTGCTCCATGGCTGTTCAGTAGCGGACGCAAACATTAAATAGAAGCAATTAGTAGTCATGTTTATTCCTGCTGCCATCCAGAAAACTGTGTGCCAGCGCGCGAGAGTTTCCTGTAATACAAAAGAAAAAATAATGTACATTCATCTGTATTCTAATACTTAAAACAAAAACAATGCGATAAATATACTAACATGTCCCTCTACTATGCTGCCGATAACATATGGCGCCAAGAAACCGCATGCGTTCGCCGCAGCATTTGTCAATCCGTAAAGAGTACCCGCGTAACGTGGTGCCAATGCGATGTGATTCATCTGATTCCCGGCATACACCGCGCCTTGTAGAGAGCCCAATCCGGCGAGCATCAGCATGACTGTCATGCGATCGCAACCAGCCCAGATGGCACCGACGAAACTGAGACTCGGTCCTAACGAGGCTACCGTGTTCCATAGTTTGAACGAAGCCAGAGGTGAAATCAGACGACGAGCGAGAAGTGCATCGGCAAAACTCGAAATACCTAAACCCACTAGCCAAGCACTTAAGTACGGTAATGCCGAGAGAAATGCATTCTGTTGTACATTCAGATGCAAAATTTTATCCATATACGTCGGCAGCTCGGTCAGGAGAGTGTAAAAGGCCCAGGACTGACCGCACTGCGTAATGGTGATGGCCCACATAGGTAGAGAAGTGAAAACAGACAGCCATGGTACACCCAGATCATCATTCTATTGTTTAAATTGCTTGATCATTATACCAAGCAAGATGACAACTTCACAAAGAATAAGATGTATATTAAACATAATATACCGACCTCGTCTTTTTTCTCGACGCTAGCTTCGATATATGCCTTTTCACAAGGATCAATTCTCGCATGTTGTGAAGGAGTATCATAAATGAATATCAACCAGAATATATACCACACGAGACCAAGACTTCCGAATAAATAAAACGCGAGGGGCCAACCACCCCATAATTCTAAGGAACATAGCCAGCCGCTCACTGGTAACGAGACGACAGTTCCGAAATTCGCACCTAAAAAAATTTTGCAAGTATTTTTGAGCACTTTTTATTTATCAACTAATAAAAAATTGTGACAAATTACCTGCGTAGACTATAGCAGCAAATTTACTCCTCTCTAAGGGAGGTACCCAATGTGCCAGCATACTGTGCATCGCAGGAAACGTTACCCCCTATATATCATGAAGAAATATTAATAATTTACATTTAAATATTACAAATAGAATATTTACCTCGGTAAATCCTTCTGCGACTCGTACAACCAAAAATGGTACTAAACCCCAATATGCGGCAAAGGGACTTATAACAGTTAGAACAGCGGTTAAAAACACTCCCAGGCCGTAAATTAATTTGCCGCCCATTTTCTCAGCCATTCTACCACCCGGAACATTTGTAGTTACATAGCCAAGAAAGAATGCACCTAATATAACACCTTGAGTCTTTTCGTCCCAGGCAAATTCTCCCGCGCTCTGAAATAATATTGGAATCAATTTCCAGATATAAAACAACAATACAAAATATTACATCAATTTGTCTGCGAGAAAAGATCTAATTTTTCTTAACAGAAACTTTACGTCATATTTCAAAATATTGCAAATTAAAACAAAACTTAGCAATATTTCTTTCATTCAAATATTAATCGATAGAAAATTATTTTTCTAGATGATGTAACAATGATATTAATATTTAAAAAAAGTAGATTAAAAAATGATAATAAATATCTCATTATTTAATTTGTATATCTCAGCTTTTAAATATTTAGATCCTATAATGAAATGAATACATACTCATCATATATAACATAAAGAAGTGCGTAAATAGTACAGTATATGTGTATGTATACACGTGTGTATGAATAGTTACATATATAGTTTTATCTCAATGACGTATTTGTGATAAATTGGGATGAGTAACATCACATGATAACGAATATCTAAATAATATTTTAACGTAATACATTAAGATTTAGATAACTACTTTTAAAGCAAAAAATAAGATTTACCGGTACAAAAGTCCCGTTTATCGGTTTAATTTTAGGACAAACGTCGCTAGTATCATTATCCTCAGTATGCGGTATTGCTGTCTGATTAACCATAGAGACAATGGCTACTGATAAATTGACCCTCATAGCATACACAAGGGCAAAACCAAGAAAGCCCAGGAAACCAAGAGTGTGACGCGCTTTTATGCATGATCTAGTATCTGCTGGAATCTGCGATGTATTAACTGAAAGAAAGTTGTACTGTCAATATATATTATCAATGAAAATACATTAGAAACTTAAACAAATTATAAGTTATAAACAACTTGAGAGAGAATGGCAAATTTTTAATTGCATCATTTAGCTCAAACTAAGAAAATTAATGTCTAAAACAATGCTGATGCTGATATATTTGCTTTAAATTATGTATTAATTAAAAACAAATTTTAACAACACAAACGCGTTAAACAATTACATCACTAGCATTTTTAGAATATATAATTTAGTATTTAAAATTAAATAATTAAAAGATTATTTTAATTAAATAATTAAGAACAATATTTGATATTTTCTCCATTCTTTCAAAACAGTGTCAGTGTAGAAATAACAGTATGTCAATAAGAACAACGGGCGTAATTCAATCTAAAATAAATCTGACGTGTTCCGCGAAGGGAGGCGGAAGACTGAAAGAGGTTGCAAGCCGAGTATGATCTCCGTTATCGGCGCTATAAAGATCATGAGCAATCGTGAGATCATTTTCACTTCCGCGTATCTCCGCGATAAGTGTGTCGCGTCGTTATCACGTTGCTGACGTTATCGTCCCTTTGTTTTCAAACAATGCAACGCGACGCCGTCGGTTCGCGCGGACGAAGAACACGTAATGACACGCTGACGTAATGACAGGTGACACGCTGGACGACAGGATGAATTACCTCGTTCGAGAGAGTCGTTGACGCAGAGCGGCTGATCGTCCCTGGAGACGCTCGGGTCCAGGACTTCCATGACGCTTGTCACCGTTCCAGGTGCCGTCGTCGTCGATCGTTCCGTTCCACAGCGATCTTGCGCTTTCCCGATGACTCACTCCGCCGTACCGAGCATAAGGGTATTACGCTTCTGTTCCGCTCCCTCCGACGCGTCCGTGCGGTAACAGGTCGTTACGGTCCGAGATCAGACCTGTCACTCGCCCCACGTCCGCGGCGGAGCACAGTTACGATGTATGTATACATGCGAAATGGTGGGTGAGAACCTTGAAGAGTCTGACATGCGCGCAGCGACGCGAAAGTAGCAGACAGCATGGCCACAACGCCACAGCTGTCATTCGGCGTGAACCATGAGATATTATAGATACGAAAAACACCGAGCTCTCTTCCCTCAAGGCTCTCTTCTCTCTGTCATTGATTTTTTGAATTTTCCTCTTCAATCATATTACAGCCAAAATACTGGAAAAAATTGCAATATTAATAATACAAATTGCAATAATCGAGAGAATCGTCTGCCTCGGAGCAATTTATTTCTAAAAAAATATAAATTAATAATTGGTTTTAATGTGTTATTAAATTTGCATCTATTTCATTTTAACAAATGATGAATATACGCTAGTTTACAAGAGCAGATCATTAAAAAAAAAATCTTTATTTCTCTTGTCCCGATCGACCAAGTAAATGCCACTTTATCTGTCGAGTAGTATTTTGGAATGTAATTCTACTGACTCTTAAGTGGCGCTAGTATGGTCTGTTCAATATAAACATTGAAATATTTCTTATCCCGTTTTTATCTCGAGTTTTATCTTACGCTTGTCATACTTTATCGAGGAGAGCCCGAGGAAAATGAATCGTCATCCAAATACTGACTATAAAAATCGCAATGAGCCGCAAGTTGAATTGGAAAGCCAATTTATTTTGCGGTTACCACCGGTATGTCGTATTGCTGTTTTATAATTTAATCTCAACCTAACCTAGCCCGTATATCATATAAAATTAATTTTCTTTAAGGAACCTGCTAGAATATTGAGAGAAGCATTACGTAGCAGTTTACCCTTGAAAGACAGATTGACTATTAAATTGGAAAATGATATGCGTTACGGTGAGGTTAGGCTTGATCATTGGTTACTCCATGCCAAGGTAAATTCCATTATTTTACATTAGTCAAAATTATTGAACAAAAATTTTTCACAAAAATGGATACGTATATAACGTATATAACAAATTCTTATTTAGGTTGTGGACCTGCCGACAATAGTGGAATCTTTAAAAACTATTGATAATAAAAGCTTCTACAAGACTGCTGATATATGCCAGGTAAATGAGAGGAAATAATGTCGTAAATAATATAGCAGAAGAATGGAGGGAGAACTTATATTTTATTATTTTTCTTTTTTAGATGGTAATATGTAAAGAAGAAGATGATCACACTGCCACAGATGAAGAATCTCCTGTTAAGCAAAAGAAAAAAGATCCGAATAAAGTTGATAAAAAGTTTCTTTGGCCACATGGTATAACACCGCCTACAAAAAATGTAAGACGTAGGAGGTTTAGAAAAACCTTGAAAAAGAAGTACGTTGAAGCGCCAGAAATCGAGAAGGAAGTTAAACGTTTATTGCGAGTGGACAATGATGCAGTCAATGTTAAATGGGAAGTGATATGTGAGGATGAGGATACATCGAAACCCAGTAAAGTATCATCATCTGGTACGGTTAAGACCAAACGGGAAAGTATAAATGGGAACACATCTCAAAGTCTGGATGTTGGTGAGTGTGGTTGATTTAAATAATAATTATAAAAAGAATAATTTTATTCAAGTTTTGTTTAATGGTTTATATTCTAGCTGAACACGACATATTCGGCGAGCCCGTAAGCGACAGTGAAGATGATGACGAAGAAGCAAATATAAACGTGATGGAATTAGATGAGAATAGTCGTCTTTCTGGAGACAGTAGAGTCTCAGACTCGAATTCTATGCAAGCTGCTTATTCAGAAAGATCGAGTAACAACGCTACAACAAGCAGCGGGTTAGTTACCGAGTTCAGTAAAGATATGTTCCACAATGATAACAATGGCGATACGGAAACTGAGAAACAGCCAGACGAAGCCACTCCGTCGAAGATTGTGAAATTAGACCAGTTTCATTCGGAATATATAATTCCAGAAAATTACACCGAATCACCCACATCAGTATCCGCATCTAAGGGTAAGTTTGAAGTACAGTGAATAAGTCCATTATTAACACAAATTCATGAATTTTTGTCTGTATGAAATATCTAGATTCGCGCCTCGCTACTCTTCATGCGGAATTAGCAGAATTACGGCAAAGAAGACAGCAACAGGAGATTGAAATAGCTAACATTGAAAACGTCAAACTGAGACAACGGTTTCAGGAGATTTTGGATAATTTGTTGACCCAAGAAATGCAAAAAGTACAAGAGGTATAACAAAAACGATCCGCATATATTTCATTTTGTTTAACATTTGTTTTCATTCAAATATATATCTTTTTTTACTTTTCAGATACAAGATCTAGAAATGGAATAGAAAGCATAGTTTCATACATACATTACTGTTATCATATATGTAAAAATTAGTTATATAAAATACAAATTTTGTTTTTTATATAAATAATTTTTATATTAAATATTATATAATATAATTCATATAATATATAAATATATACATTGTACAAAATCAAAATATAAATTATAAGTTTTTTAAGTAATATGCTTTTTTAATATTAGAGCTAATAGGAAAAAACATTTTTGTTTACTCCTGATTCCTATTAACAAAACATTTTGTAGTATACAAAATCTTGAATAAAGTGAAAAAGATCATAAAACTTAATTTTTACAAAATTCATTTTATTAATATCGATGTTATGTTTAAGAAGATAAATATTTTCTGCCATATAGTTGTGCCTTTTTCTCAAATCCCACAGACTTAATAGGCG